ACATTTTTGAATGGTTTTGTTTCACAATCCTCTCCAGGGTGCGGTTATCCCTATTGCTTGTACACTTTTTTCTACCACATCTTTTCCTTCCCTTCGCCTCTCTATTAATGTGCTTGGACACAGAGCTCTGTGAACAGCCAGCCTCTTCTGCAATGACCTTTTGTGTCTTGCCCTCCTTGTGCAAGGTGTCAATGGTCGTCTTTTGGACAACTGTCAGGTCAGCAGTCTTCCCCATGATTGTGTAGCCTACAGAACTAGACTGAGAGACCATTTAAAGGCCTTTGCAGGTGTTTTGAGTCAAATAGCTGATTAGAGTGTGGCACCAGGTGTCTTCAATATTGAACCTTTTCACAATATTCTAATTTTGAGACACCGAATTTGGGGTTTTCATTGGTTGTCAGTTATAATCATCACAATTAAAAGAAATAAACATTTGAAATATATCAGTCTGTGTGTAATGAATGAATATAATATACAAGTTTCACTTTTTGAATGGAATTAGTGAAATAAATCAACTTTTTGATGATATTCTAATTATATGACCAGCACCTGTATATTCCATTATTTTACCATAATAGCAGATATAATGCCTCCATAAGAGACTTCTGTAGGGTCAGTAGAGGATCTCACCTCTTGGGAACTTTGTTTAGCAGTGACCTGAGACATATCATCATTGTAGTTTATCTGGTTTGTTGGCAGGTTGTCCAGGAAAGAGTTCAGGGATTTGCACGTGCTCTGGAACTCCTGGTGCTTGTTGCTGGCTTCATGTAAGATATTGTCTCTGAAAGTATGCATCAGTATTATAGTAAATTTTAAAAGCTGACATGGTGAAAGCTATACAGCATGATACCTTTCAAATGTACAAGTCTCAGGATGTATTTTCTTTTGTTTCTTTTCCTAAAATGTATTTATACCAAAGGCAATATTAGCTGACACCTTTGCCTGACCATATCACTTTACAAAACCACATCATACTGGATCTGCCCATTATATATCCATTATTATCTGTTTCTTCAAAATAAGGATCAACATAATACTTTTATTTGCAATGTTAAATGCCTTTGTATATAAAAAAAAAACGCACACACATGTATTTTCTCATTTTGTATTAAATCTCCTCTGACACCTCAGATTTATCTTGTGACTCCTTCAGGGGTCCTGAAACAGTCTTATAGTGGATTAAATTACCCCAGCTGAGTAATTTTATCAATTTTTTCTTTATCTATACTGGTTTTTCCTGTTGAGGGACGTGGGAAGTAGTGGTGGGAGTGAGCGCGTTTATGTGTGAACTGATTTGAAGTAATTTGTCCACAGTCTGATTCTTACCTTCCTTGCAGCTGGTTGACCACGTTTGTGTAGCGGGCGTGCAGCTGCTTCACGTCTTTTCTCTGGCGATTGATGTCTGGGCAGTACTCCTGGTATCCCTGCTGCAGATGGCTGCAAAGCTGCTCCGTGGTCTCCAGATCCTTACTCAGCTTCTTCATGTCATCCTGAGCCGCTGCCACAGCCTTTCGTTGGCGCTGAATACAACAAAGGAGATGTGCAATTTAAAATGTGTCAAATCAAAGTTGAACCTATCAGTAAGAAAATTGCTTGGTTTTGATTGATTTTTAAAGGAATGTGGAAATGCAGATTTTCTCACCTGAATGTCATTAGTATGGGCTTGAATTGCATTTGGCTCATCAGGAATTGGACCATCTTCACTCAGCTTCTTCTCAAATCCAGATACAAGGCCATCCACCTTCTTAATCTGCCTTTCCAGGTTGAGAGAAGCGTTTGCTCTAAAAAAAAAAAATTGTAGTGATAAGTGTATTTACATTATTTAGCAATGTAGCAGAGCTTGAAAAAGACCTATAAAATATGAGGTAGTAGGCAGAAACAGTGTTGCAGACTGTACCACACCTTGCACAAGGGGGATTTGTTGAGTTTTCCTCTATAATACTGTAAGGTCTAAACCACCCATCCATCCATTTTCTTCCACTTATCCAAGACCAGATCGCAGTGGCAACAGGTTCAACAAGGTAGTCCAGACGTCGCTCTCCCTGGTAACATTCTCCAGCTCCTCTGGTGGGTTTCTGAGGTTTTCCCAGGCCAGATGAGATGTATAATCTTTCCAACATGTTCTGGGTCTGCCCTGGGGTCTCCTACAAGTTGGACATGCCCAGAAAAGCTCCAAAGGGAGGTGCCCTGGAGGCATCCTGATAAGACCCTCCCACATCACCTGCCTCCTTTCAGAGTCCCTACCACATCAACTGGCTCCTTTCAGAGTACCTACCACATCAACTGGCTCCTTTCAGAGTACCTACCACATCAACTGGCTCCTTTCAGAGTACCTACCACATCAACTGGCTCCTTTCAGAGTGCCTACCAAATGTCTGAACTCTACACCCTATCTCTAAAGTTAAGTCCAGCCACCCTGTGGAGGAAATTCATTTTGTGATCTTATTCTTTCGGTCACTACCCACAGCTCGTGACCATAGGTGAGGTTTGGAGTGTAGACTGAAAACTTTGTCTTTTGGCTCAGCTCCTTCTTCACTATGATGATCTGGTACAACATCTGCATTACTGCTGATGCTGCCCCTGTCTGCCTGTCAACCTCACACTCAATTTTACCCTCAGTAACTCCTTTACTTGAGGCAGCAACTCACTTCCAACCCAGAGAGAGCTGTTCCATTTTCCAGAAGATCTAAACCTTTTTATTTAAAGTGCCCTGAGATAATTTTTTGCTGTAATTTGGCACTATACAAATAAATTGAATTGAATGATAAGTATTAGGGTTGTATGGTGACGCAGTGATTAGCGCTGTCACCTCACAACAAGAAGGTTCCGGGTTCAGGCCGTGGCTGTCCCAATGCTTTTCTGTGTTCTCCCTGTGCCTGCATGGATTCTCTCTGGGTACTCCAGCTTTGTCCCACAGGCCAAAGACATGTAGCTTAGGTTTGCCTGTAGGAGTGAATGTGAGAGTGTGTGGTTGTTTGTCTGGCGACCTGTCCAGGGTGGACCCCACCTCTCACCCAGTGTCAACTGGGATTGGCTTCAGCTTCACCCCCCC